CCATCTGCCTGTTCTGCTCCCAGCTCTGTCTCTGGTGAATCCTCTCACCCTCCGCATCTCTGGCCTGTACCCCAGTTCTGTACGAATAAATAAATCTTAAAAAAAAAAAAATCCTATTTCCTAGATACCATGTTATATACTATGTGTTTTCAAAGAGAAGGTACTAGGAGTTATAGCTAGAGAGTTTACAGATTTTCTAAGAAAAAGAAAAAAAGGAGAGGAATTTTAAAGCAGTGATTATAAGTAAGGGGTCTGGCGCACGGGGCCCTGTTGGCCAGTTATTATTGCGTGGTATTGGGTAGGATACCTTGTCCCCTCTCTGTGTCTCTTCTCTTTCATCTGTAAAGGGGAAAATACCAACCCTTTAAACCCTGTTAAAAGACTGAGTGGAAAAGATACTACAAGTACGTGAAATCCATAAACACAATAAATATTATGATTCTTTTGTGACCTGTTATCATAATGTGAGGATGAGAACCAAATGGGTAGATTTCTGATTCCACTGATTTTTTTGGACAAGTTACAAGACCTTCTAAGTCTCAGCTTCCCTTACCTTTCACATGGGCTGAATATTCAACTTTCAGGGTTATAAAAGGAACTAAATAAGAAAAACATTTGTAAAAACAATAGCACAATGCCTACTAAAATATCAGATGTGCAATGAAAATTGGGTGAAAAAAGATGAAAAAAGGTAGTACATAAAGCAAAGAGAGACAAAGTTGTAGTACAGACCAAACCTCACAGACTGCCAAACCCCAGTGGTAATTAAAAGGATGGTTGAGTCTGGGTGCGGCAGGATGAAGGAGATGAGTATCCTTCAAACGCACCGCTGAAGGCCAAAACATGTCACTTCCAATCAAGGAAGTGATACTTCACAAACGTACCCCCCTGTGTCTGCTCTTAGACACTTGAGTGTTTTGAGATTACTGATTTAAATGGTCAGCTGACCCATTTCTAGTGGGTCTAGTGTTTCTAACAAGATCCCAATGTGATCCTTCACAGAAATATATTGACATTTGTATGTCTTTAAGTTGGACTTTTCTAAATATCTCAGCTTTTCTTCGCCTTGCCATATGACTTGCCTAAGGCTTGATAAAAGGTCACTTCAGACAGGGAAAGTATTTAAGGGGCATAGGAAAAAAAATTCACTTTTTCAAGTAAGGTAGTTGAAATAATGGTATAATAGAGAGGAAAAAAGCCTGAAAGCATGTGGGGGAACTTACAAACGATAACTGATTTCTTCTTTTCTCTACTATTATAGAATAAAAATAGAAAATTTCACTGGAACTTGCTTTTAATAAAATAAAATGAAACGTAGATCTATTAAGATAAATGAGAAGCAATCAAAGGTATTTAAAATAGTGAAAACTATGAAATATAAGTTAAAAAGTAAGTAATACAACTCCCTCTTTATAGGCAGATAATTTGGGAGTTACTGAGTTTAACCGGAAATAATGTTTAAATCAAAAAGATATTAATGTAGTATATACACATGCTGATTCTCAGTGATGAACACCTGAAATGTATATAATGTTATAATTCAATGTTAGATCAATAAAAAAAGTAAGTTAAAAATGAGGCATAATTGGAAATAATGTTCAAATAGTTTTCTCTTCAAATCAATTACTACATACAAATTAATTATTTCATTATTAAACTATAAACATAAGGGAACATTATGACAACCATTTTAATTTTAATTCTATCAAAATTAATAGGAATTAGCTCCAGGGTTGGGGGTATATTCTATACACTTTTCAGTTGAATGGATAAATTAGATAATTTGCACCAGAATTAAGTAGGCAGAAATGCATTATTTTTAAATATGCATAGAAAAATAACAGTAATATTTAATGAAAAAAAAGAAAACACTTACAATATCTTCTATTATCTCTTTGATGGCTGCCACAGCTAAAATAAACAAGAGAGGAACCAGTGTTGTGTAGCGGCCTGTTGGTGATACATCAGGTATTTGCTATTAGGAAGAGGTAGGGTTCGGGGAGGAGGGAAAGAAGAGACATCCTGTGAGAATGAACAAGTATAGAATAGATTTAAAAACAACAAGTCTTAGTGCTTCCTAAAATCAGCCTCATTTATTTTACTATCTTGGCTGACTAACACTGGGTGAGGCATTTTGTGCCTGATTAAGTAGCTGGATGAGTATGCTAATTAGCTTCATAGCAAATAGTTGTGTGTAGGCTGAAAACCTACAAAAAGGGGTTGGGTTAGTCAATGACAGTACATTAATATATCATAGCACCATTAAAAATAAAATTTTAGAAACATGGCAAATCACATAGGATAATATCCACCCATTAGCATAGAAGTAATACAGTTGTAAAACAATATATATCCTATGATATCCTTTTTGTAAACTAAATCAACATATGTTGCTTAGGAAAGAACAAAAAGACCAAAAGAATATAAACCCAAATTTTAAGAGAGGCGTTGCCTTGGGGATGGGTGGATAGATGGGTAGAATAATAAAATTATTTTTTTCTTCTTGCACTGTTTATCTTTTTACAATGAAGTCATGCTACATTTTGATAAAATGAAACATTTTCTTCTAACTACAATGAACTCAATCACATACAAAAAAAACAAGATTTAAAATGGCAATTCTTATATTCTAAGGTTCAGAACAGATATTTTCAATAAAATAAATTAACATTCTATGAAAAAGTACCATCCCTTTTACCACACAAAATTTATAGAACCTTGTCACATAAGATTTATAGAACTTTAAAATAAATTAATCAAAGTTAATCAAAATGCTTGAAAAAGTAGAATTCTGATTACTACTTAAAGCAAGGATTGTAATGCACCAAAATCAGCTTATCTCTCTTTCTTTAGGTAAGCTATAGAAGATTGTTTGCCACAGTTTTAACAAAAACATTTATTAATATCTGAACTTCTGACTTTGAACCAACGCTTTATGACAAGATGTTACCTGAAGCAGTGCAATAAAAAGGAAAAATGAATTAGCAGCTCTTCTGAATTGAGAATAGAGAAATCTTGGGAGGAATGTAATTATGTTGTACTTCGCAGTGCTAGAAAACAAAAATGAAAAGTAGAATAAACCTTAATTACTCTGTAATTAGCATCATGTTTATGAAATTCTATATCACCATATAGAAAAATTAGATGACGAACATTTGCTCACTCTTTCAAATTAGGAGATTATTGCGAATGGTCATTATTTTAAATGAAAAGAAACGAAAGGACAGCCTAAATAAACAGTAAGTGTTTAATTTCTGTGCAGCATCTTTTGTTTTCTTTTGCCAAACATCCTGCTTAAAATATCTAGGAGTAGCTTGCAAAAATACATCAACTGTAGTAAATAATATAATATGTTAATACATAATAAAAATTTACAAAAGAAAACAATAAGCTTCAGCAAATTGAATAGGACCAGATACTGGAGAATATCCAATACATTCAGAGTAAGGAGATTCTTCCTAAGTATCTTTTGTGGTGCCTCTAAGGGTCCACACTAAACACATTAGGTATAGTCTCAATCAGTAAGATACTGCCATTTTGGTTTGAAACAACTAATCTTCTTTATTATGCAGAAAGGAGATTAGGAGACACAGTACACCTCGATTATCACCCCTACTCTAAAATTTGAAGTTGCAAAATAAATATTTCTAAAATCCAGGAATTTTGTCACTGCAGAAACAGTTGGCTAGCATGGGGTTGGGTGGGTGAGTGGGTGTTCACTTAGTTCCAGAGGCCACTTCATGAATAGCACTCACACCAACACTTTAATGTCATTGTTCAAATGAAAAATTAACAGTGAAGTAATTCTTACAATTTTTCATTCCTCAAAACCAAACTAAATTTCACAGCTGTCAAAAACTAAGAGTTAAAGACTGGTAAACCAAAATGAGTTCTTGGTGGGAAGTGCAAAGACCTCAAATATTAAAACCTGATATCCAAAAATAACAATTCATCATTCTATTAGCAGGGTTAAGACAAAGGCTACTACCCATGCGCAGCTTTCATGATTCAGACACTATATATAAAACAGGTAATGCGTGGGTGCTCATCCTTCCTGCTTCCACATTCTTATTAAAACTCCTCATTGTTTAGAAGATATAGACACACCAAATTCATACTACCTCCAGTAAGCTCTCCAATATTAACGGATTTAACTGCAAGCTCTTTGCAAGCATTTGTGGGGAGATGGCCTATGGGTTTCAGCAGTGATAGTAGGTCTCCTGGCTTTCTTTGATATTTCCTACCTGACATGGTTATTGCAGAATTTTGTCAGCTGTGGCTGGTTGATAAATATAGTTCGTACTTCCTCCTGATCAGCCAGCGAAGTCTTCTCTGAAACATCATCAGTCTTCTCATAACCTTAAGGAGAATATGAAATGTTTTGTTTTATTATCCAGACCAAAACCACATTTTATAATGATTCTAAAATTAAAAATTTGTTAAAAGTTATGTTTCCCTCTTATTGGTCTTATTATTTTTTTTGTAATGAAAAGAAAAATACCCACATCTAACATTCCTACTAAATTTAAAAGGTAGCATTTTATAATCATATAAAACCTACATCTTCAAAAACAGTAACATTAATTTTTAATTTTTACTCATTTTCCCCATGAATATTCAACTTAACTTGCTTCATTACATATGTTCAAAAGTAACAAAACATTTAAATTGGTTTATATCAGTTCTATAAAAGATTAATGAGACAGAATTTTAAATATATTTTTACAGTGTAAGCATACAAATTTAATGCTTTTCTGCTTTTGTTTCATTTTGTTTTCCTTTTAGGTTAAAATAGAATGATGATAAACATTAAACTTGAAATAGGCAATCACAATTATCTAATTCACTATGATTATCTTAATCTTTCTGCTAAATAGAATTTATGTACACAGAGAAAGTTTAATTTCTTAAGATTATTTCAAGTTATCTCATAATCACTGTAACAAGACAACCAGCTGAAGCAGTTTCAATTGGGTGACACCTTGTTAAAATGTTGACAAAACTTTTAAAAAATACACACAGGTTCTAGAAGAACAGAAAAATAATAAACTGCTTATTTTACCTACTAGTGAGAATTATATGAGACTGGATTAAATCAGCCTCATCCCTTTTTTTAGAAAAGAGTCACCATACCCATTTTTCTTTTTTCTGCACAGTCGGTGCTAACTTTTACCCAAAGACCAGGAACACGGGGTTTCTTCTGAAGTATTCTTGTTATTAAAGTCAGAGCACCTTCTCTGTGTACCCACAGCCCTCTGCAGCTCCCCTGTCGCCAGGAAAACACTCACCAGGTTTCCTTGCTGCCTGCTTCTTATTCAGCCTACCCCCACCAGCATGGGGACTCCCGGAGGTTGTAGATGGTGTGTTACTCATCTTCCTAACACTAGTACCAACAAACGGTAGGTACTTAATAAATGTTTGAATACAGAAAAAAGAAAATGACAAAGGACTGGTTATCTGGCAGTTTTTTACCCTGCTGAGGGCAAGCAAAAGCTACTCCACCTACTGATAAAGGTTCACTAAGACAAACAAGTGCAGGCAACATTGTACAAGAAAAGCTACTTGTGGGATTCTGTTGCTTGATGAAACCAGAGAGTCCTTTAGGCTTTCTACAAAGGTGAGGAACATGTGACCAACAACATGGAGTGTGTGCAGTGTATGCACATGGGGACACAGCTGAACCCCACACAAAGCGCAAGGGCCAGCAGGCAAGAGAGGATTCTGAAACCTAAACATGCCAGGTCTTGGCAAGAAGTTTGAATGGCAACCTTGGGTGGCAGAGAGCCACTGAAAGCTTTCCACGGTGAGAATCACATTTTACATTACACATTCTGTACATTTACACATCACTCTGGAGGTCACCTGCTCCAACTGAAACAATGTTATATCCTGGGAAGATTTAGATTCATAGCAGCTTGGCCCGAGGTCACATAGCTAATAATTGTCACTCACTACACTATACTTTATATACAAGACAGGATTCCCCCTGGTTTCATATAATCAAAATTTTATATATGGATTGCTAGAGATGGAATGTTTTTGTCCCCTTCAAAATTCAAAAATTGAAATCCTGGCCCCCAGGGGGTGGTATTAAGAAAGTGAAGTTTGGGGAGGTGATTAGGCCACCAGGGAAGATTCCCTCATGAAGACAACTAGTGGTTTGTCAGACCAGAGAGGCCCTTTCCCCTTTCATACAGAAAAAAGACAATAATCTATAAGCCAGAAAGCCAACTCTTACCAAACAGTGAATCCACTGGCACTCTGATCTTGAACTCCCAGCCTCCAGAAATGTGAGAAACAAATTTCTGTTGTTCATCTAGTATTTTATTATGGCAGTCCCAATAGACTAAAACATACATTATCAAAAAGATATTTAAATCTTGAACGTTCTTACAATTCTTTAATAAGGGGCCTCTCTGATAGCAGAAGGGATTAAAGCACAGCACTATAAAGCTATCTGCAGTAACTGCAGCACGAGTTCAATCCCTGGCCAGGGAAGTGACTCACATGGTGCAAAAGACCGCTGCTGTCTTGCCTGCTGCTCCCCTCAGTGTATTTCAGCAGATCTGCCTGTTCTAGTCCCCACTCTGCCTCTGCCTTTCACCCCCTCCCCACATCTCTGGCCTGTAGCCCAATTCTTGTATGCATAAATAAATATTTTAAAAGTCTTTATTAAGTTTTCCTTAATGACAGCACAAAGGTCATAATGTATTGAACAGAGTCTCAGGGTAACCAGCTTCCCCTGCTCTGAACTGATGTCTCAAGTTGGACTAACCTTATTTCACTGGACTTTTGAAGGTTTGGCCCTTGTGCATTCTTAGCTGAGGACTTAGTGTCACTTCACACTGGATATATCTATTTAAGGACAGGTCTCAGATGCTTCCAGGTGACACTGGACATCACATCTCTCCCTCACACATTGTTTTCAAGACTATCCATAGGCAAAAGACCCTCCTGTGACAAAAGAGTTGGAATCAACCTTGTCTGTAATGGCAGAGTAACAAAAAATATTATTTAGTAATATATCAAGAACAGATCTCTCTCACAACAGACAAAGGTTGTCTAATGCTATAAGATTAGGATATGCACAAAACTAGCAATAAAGGATTGATCACAAAAATAAATGGAGAACTGATGAAACTCAACAAAAATAAATAACCCATCAAAAAATGGGCAGAAGAGCTAAAAAGACACTTCTCCAAAGAGAAAATGCAGATGGCCAACAAGCATATGAAAACATGTTCAACAACACTTGTAATAAGGGAGATGCAAATTAAAATCACAATGAGATACCACCTCACACAGTGAGAATGGCACATCTTCAAACAACTAGCAACAACAAATGTTGGCAAGGGTGTGGAGAAAAAGGAACTCTCCTGCATCACTGGTGGCAATGCAAACTAGTACAACCACTATGGAAAACTGTTTGGAGGTTCCTCAAACTGCTAAACATGGAGCTTCCCTA